AGGAGGCACAAGTCGCCAGAGAAGGATAGCATGTTTGGTAAGGTGGAGGGTCAGAGAAAAAAGAGGAAGACACCCAATGAGATGCGTTGGCCAAGTGGCAGCATCGATGGACTCAAGAGTGGCAACATTAGTGAGGTTGGCCCAGGATCAGGCAGTGTTTCATTCTGCTGTGCAAAAGGTCGCTATGGGTCGGTACCGACTCAATGGCACCTAACAACAACAAGCCTTTACAGGAGCAGTCTCATCTTTCACTACTCTTGCTTTTAGCAGCCTAAAGCTGAACCTACCATTCGTGAAGTGGTGGTGGTGGTGGTTATGTGCCATGGAGTCGGCTCTGATTCACAGCAACCCCATACAGGGTTTCCGAGGCTGTAAATCTTTACAGGAGCAGAAAGCCTCATCTTTCTCCCACGGAACAGCTGGTAGTTTCAAACTGCCAACCTTATAGTTTGCAGCCCGATTTGTAACCACTACACTACCAGAGGCCTTTAAAAAAATTTTTTTTTAATATTAGAAGCAATTTCAGATTTGCAGAAAAGTTGTAGTATAGTGCAAAGCCATCTGAGATTAAACTGACAACATGGTATCCTAATTTTATTGTATAATAAACTAAACTTGTTGCTATCTGGTCTATTCTAACCCTGGTGAGCCTATACCTACAAAATGGACATTGTTCTATATGACCACAGTCTTATCACCAAAGTCAGGAAAATAATGTTGAGACTAGAGGAGAAGAACTCTCTTGGTCCCTGGCTCCAGGCATTCTGATGGTCCAACCTAAATCCTCTCTCCACAGAAGCCAGCTGGTCGCCACCACTGCATTACTTGCATCTTCATCATCTTTCATTACTTTACATTTCTGTTCCAAGTCTTGACTTCTAGCCTGCCTCTGACTGTCTTTTGGGGTTTGTTTCTTTTCATATGCTTTTCTGTCATTTGTGTGATTGGAGCAAGGTCTGGGGGGATTAAAGCATGGCTTCTTTGAATCGTCGAGATTGGAAATCTGTCTACCTAATTTTTCTATGGGTCACTTCATTATAGTGAATGGATGGCACCATGAGTTAAGTACTGGGTTGCTAACCAAAAGGCTGGCAGTTTGAATCCACCTCTCCTTGGGAGAAAAATGAGGCAGTCTGCTTCCATAAAGATTTACAGACTTGAGAACCTGAGGAAGCAATGGGTGGGTGTTTATTTCTACCTCCTTTACCTCCATCAATTAATGTTGATACAAAAATAAGTATGTGTTTACTGTGTAATGTATATATATAAATATACATATGTTGTAATTGTTGTTAAGTTCCATCAAGTCCATCCTGACTCGTAGGGACTCTGTATAGGGTTTCCAAGGAGCAGCTAGTGAGTTTAAACCACCAACTTTATAGTTAGCAGTCCAGTGCTTATCCTACAGCACTACACCAGGACTCCTACATACACATGTTGTTGTTGTTAAGTGTTGTTGAATCATTTTTGACCCATAGCGACTCTGTATGAGGTTTCTGAAGAGCAACTGGAGAGCTTGAACTGCTGACCTTGAAGTTGAAATTGGCTTTGTAGTCCAGTGCATTAACTCACAACACCACACCAGAACTCCTGTATGTGTATGTTGTTGTTGTTGTTAAGTGCTGTCAAGTCAATTCTGACCCATAGCGACCCTGTATAGGATTTCCAAAGTGCAGCTGGTGAACTTGAACCACTGACCGTGCAGTTCAAAAGGCTTTGCAGTCTGGCACATTAATGCACAGTGCCACACAGGGTAGATAGGGACGGGCAACTTAGACACTGGCTACCTAAAATGAGGGGGTGATAAAGGCATGAAGTGACTGGCTTACAAGCTTTCAAGAGGGAGTTTAGTTTAAGAGTATGGGGTGCAGAAGAAAGCGTCCCCACTGAATAGTTTTCATCTTGTCTAGATGAGACTGGTGAAAAGAGATGGGGATGAGATTCATAAGATTCAATAGTGAATAATTGTTATCATGACTAATTGTGACTGTCACAATTGTAAAGGTAGAAGTTTTGTAACAAAAACAGGGGAGTGGTTAATTTGATAGATCAGAGGCAGAGGACCCTAGGACCATCAAGGGAGAAGAGCACAAGCAGAATGTGGGATCTTATTTAGAGAAGCAGCAGCCACCAGAGATGGAGGCAGTGATGGGGTCATGGATAGAGGGAGTTTCTGAGGACTCTAGATTTATGGGAAGAGAGGGACTAAGAGCTGGTGGCCAGGAGGCAGACCTGCAGAATGTGCCCTTTGGAGGTGTAAATTATTATATATGCCTGAGTGTTTTTCTTTTTAGAAAGCTAAAGTAAACAGAGAGAAACACTGTTAACTGGTGGTGTATGGAGGAGATTATAATCATTGTAATGAAACAAGGTGTATAATTTGTTGAATGTAAAACTGATGATCTGCCCTGTAAACTGTCACTCAATCCACAAAAAACTTAAAATAAAGTAATTGGCACAAAATAGGTGTTCAATATATCTCATTCATATTAAAATACTAGACCAAGACAGAAGTGGGCAGGAATCAATGTGCTTTCTTCCCAACCTTATCCAGGTCTTGATGACCTTGGGGATGACTTGTCTTCTTCCCTTGCAGCCGCCTGATGAGACGGGTGATGAGTCACCCTCCCAGGAAACCCCCTAGTCCCAGCAGATCTAGCTTCCGAGTCATTCCCCTGGAAGTTGGTTCATTTGTGCATGTAGTCTCCTGCCAACTTAGAACACTGCCAAAACAGAAACTCACTGCCATGGAGCTCATTCCAACTCTTAGCAATTTGTGCCGGTAAATCTTTATGGGAGCAGACAGCCTCACCTTTCCCCCTCAGAGTAGCTGGTGGTTTTTAACAGCCAATCTTGCCCTTAGTGGTCCAAATGCTTATTCCACAGAACCACCAAGGCTTCTTATTGTTGCTGTGGTTAAATGCCATTGAATCCGTTCTGGCTCATAGTGACCCTGTATAAGGTCTCCGATGAGTGGCTGGTGAGCTTGAACCACTGACCTTGTAGTTCAAACCAACCTTGCAGTCCAGCTCATTGACCCACAGCGCCCTAGCAACACTCAGAGGCTCCTTAGATGACAAAAATATGGCAAGTGTCTCTTTGGGAGCCTTGACCCTTTCTTTACCTTTATGAATACTGCTTGTGAAGATAACCCACCCTAAGTGGTCTGTCTTGCCTGGAAATACAGGCAAACCCCATTTTGATCTTGACTAGCTACAACTTGAATATGTAATGTAGTTCAGGCCTATTGCTAGGTAAGCACTGAGAGAGTCAGTTTTATTACCTATTCAGGCAAAGCTCAATTTACATGTTTTCCTTTCACAAAATCATTCAGATGTTAAAGTGCATAATCTTGGGGAGATGGAAAACATAATTGATAGATGATTTTCCCCTTCACACACTAGTTCTCATGTTTATTCATGGAAAATGAACCGGTCTTAGAATTTACACAAAGACTTTGTGTATCTAGTCCTTCGTCAGGTCATTTTGGAGACCAATCAAGAGGGAGTTTGAGGCTTTAAAGCCGCAAACTCTGTCCTTGGTTCTGATTACCTTGCTTTGGTAAATGGACTGAATCAACATGTACTAGTGGCACCAAGAGGGTTATCTGGCACCCAAAGAACACTGAGCAAATACTTGTTGGCTAGATGGTTAAATTGTGATGAAAGCAAAGTTTACCTTTGGAGCATTTCTGTCTCTTCATTTTCACTCTTCTGTGCTGCCACTCCTCCATCTGCTAAGCCTCCTATGATACTCTTGTTGCATTAAGATGCTCCATGTAGACCATGTAGACCTGCCTTTTGGATTAGTCCCTACAAGAGCAGGGTCTTGCCTTCTACTGATGAAGTATGATAGTCAGGTGAGACAGGGTTTCCACATGAGCAAAGGTTTATTATAGGAAAAAGACTTGTAAGCAGAGGTGGGGAGGGCTTCGGACAATGCATAAAACCAATCTACTTGGACAAAGGCTTTGTTAGAGTTTTAAAATTTGGGGTGGGGAAAAGGAATCAGGTGACTTCATAGGGATAGGCAGGAATTTTAGGTAAATGGCCTGTTTGTTGTTGATGTTGTTAGGTGCCATCAAGTTGGTGTTGACTCATGGCACAACCTTCACAACAGGATGAAACACTCTCTGGTCCTGTGCCATCCTCACAACTGTTATGTTTGAACCCATTGCTGCTGCCACTGTGCCAATCCAAACCCTTGGGAGTTTTCCTCTTGTTGGCTGACCCATCATGTTACCAAACATGGTGGGTCAGTCCAGGGACTGGTCACTCCTAATAGCATCTCACCATCCTGGCTTCTAAGGAATATTCTGACTGTATGTCTTCCAACACAGGTATGTTTGTTCTCCGAGTAGTCTATGGTACTTTTAATATTCTCCTCCAACACCATAACTCAAATGCATCAATTCTTCTACAGTCTACCTTATTCGTTGTCCAACTTTCAGACACATATGAAGTGATTGAAACTGCTTCATATGCATGTGAAGGTTGAACAATGAATAAAGTTGTCCTCAAACTGATACATTTACTCTTGTTTTTGTTTTTGTTGTTGGTAAGTGCCAATGATTCTGTTCTGATTCATAGCGACCCTATATAGGGTTTCAGAGGAGTACCTGGTGAGTTTGAACCACTGACCTTAAGATTCAAACCTACCTTATGGTCAAGTTCTTATATTACAGGCCACACCAGCATTCCATATAGCCTTAGAAGTAAAAGTGTGTCTGCATTCTGACTCTCAAGGTTACTATTCCAAAAATGATATAACTCTTACACCTACTCCCCACTCATTGACGTGGTTAGATGCTAAGGGCCAAGTTATGTGAATATTGTTTTTATGTGAAAATGGGGATGACTGCATGAGATTACAAAATAAGGATGATACAGCATTATGCTATGTAACTGCTGAATTCCATCATTACAATAGCCCATCTTTAACTATAGTTTCCCTTTTTCAATTACCTATGATCAACCACGATCTGAAAATATTTCAATTACGCATCACTCTGAGTAGTGTGATAAAATCTTTCATTGTCCTGCTCCATCCTGGAGCCAGCTTCCTCCTCCTCCATTGGGTGCGAGTCTGGAAAACACAGTTGGATGAGGGCTGTACTGCACCTTACCTGCATCTACTGGGCACCATGGGTGCGTGCTGCACATATGTGTGGAGAAAAGCATAGTAAACATAGTACATATAGTTTGTAATGATACTATCCTTTGTTTGGGGCATCCACTGGGGATCTTGGAATGTATTCCCCACAGAGAAACAGGAACTACTACCAAACCTCTGAGAATCATTGCCTAGCCAAGTTGACACACAACCTTAAACATCACCTCCAGCATTACTCTCACTTCAGACCTTGGCATTTGTTATTGCTCAAAATTTATAGAATTTTACTATTGTTGTTGTGGTGTAGTATATTATTAATGTCTGTTCTAGCTGTAGTCTTTGTAAACTCCCACCACACGACTTTTTCCTGACGGGTCTGGGTGGGAAAATGTGTGGGGGCAAGTTGATGGATTTAGTTGTGAATGGTTGGCTCATTGTGAATGGCCAAGTTTTCCATCCTGCTGGATATAATAAAATGAGCCATCTCAGAAGAGAGGGGCTGGGGGATGAGTCAGGAGTTGAACATGTCCTTTGGACTCAGAGATTCCACTTATTGTACCTCCTTGACCTAAGGACAGATGCTGTGACACCGGAGGAGAGGCCGAGGAGCAGCGGAACCGAGAGCCAGAACGTATGATGGAGTGAATAAAGCTGAGAGACTTTGGGCAAGAGGATCCTTTGCACAGTGGGGTACCTCCAAGCAATTAATTGCAGAGTTAAATTTGCTGATCCATGGAGCTAGAACTGGATGCCTTAAGGCTGAGGCTTTTAGTAGAGTGGAGTGTTCCGGGCATTTATCAGCAGCCCTAAAAGAGCTTTGTAACATTGAATAAGCAGGGCAGAGGCCAGGTCAACAGGCCAAGGGCTGATAGCTGCCTGCCTATGGGCATGCCTGAAGAGACGCTGTCCTGACTGGGCTAACTGCTGGCTGAGCAATTCTGACCCTGAGTTGTAATCTATTAACTTCCCTAATAACCCCCCTAACTGTGAGTGTGTTGTGTGAGCTCTGTGTAGCCATTGCAATGAATTATCAAACACAACTGAGCCAAGAGGGTTGTGGGAGGGATGGCTGGTGCCAGGTTTTGCAGTTGTAAATGTGAAATGTCAGATGACAGGTGAGGGAAATAGATCCATTTCAAGATGGTCCATTAAAACAAGTATTAACTAAAATACTGGTTTAAATGGACCTTCTTTTTTCGAAATGTCAGTTAGCCAATAAATCATTTTGTTAGCCTTTCTCTCAGTGAAGTAGGAGGAATTGACTCAACAATCTGTTTTTGGAGCTGATTTAAAATTGATTGTTAAATATTTGTAGATTTTAGACACGAAAAAAGGTGTCCTGGTGATATCGCGCTTAAGCACTTGGCTGCTAAGGAAACCCTATGAGGCAGTTCTACTCTGTCTTACAGAGTTGCTCTAAGTCAGAATTAAATCGGCTGCAATGAGTTTGGTTTGGTTTTATTCATTAAAAAAAAAAAATATGCCATTTTCATTTCTTACCTTTGCACACATTCAATTTGCGACTTGTCTTTGAGAAATTATACTTTAGATGACAGTAGGAAAAAGCCATCTTTGGCAGTTGGGAGTTTAATTACTGGAATTTTATTAGAAAACTGTCACAGTGACTAGATTTTGCAAGCTGATCAAGCAATACTGCCAAGTTGTTCTGAGCAGCAGCTCTCCTTTCTGGATCATAAATTTGGAAGATATGCACTAGGCAAAACAATGTCAAGTTTACCAAGAATGAACTTCAGACATTTACTCTAAGCCTAGACTAGACAAAGAAGAAAGGTTGATCGATGAAGGCTCAGTAGCTGCTGTCTGACAACTGCTAGGAAGGTAGGCTCACAGAGAGGTTCTGCATCCGAGCTTTTGAGTCCCTATTCATCAGCAAGTCTCAGCTTCCTAATGCTGCTATAACAGAAAATACCACTAGCATGTGGTTTTCAAGAAATTTATTTTCTCACATTTCAAGAGATTAGAGATCCAAATTCCAGGGACTGGCTAGAGGAGAAAACACTGCCCCTCTTTCCCAGCTCTGGGGAAGATCTTAGTGCCTTTCAACATCTGGTCGTCATTTCTCAGTCCCTCTCATGTCGCAACTTTCTTCGTGCTAGTTGTGTTTCCTTGTTTGTGTGTCATGCTGCCCTTTGTAACTCAGAAGTGATTAGGTTTAGGGCAAACCAACATTGATATAACAAAGAAAACCCTATCATCAGACTAATTTAGGGGATAAGATTCCAACAGGTATTATAAACGCATTGCTGTTCAGTTGATTGCAGCTCATAACAACCCTGTAGAACTGCCCCATAGGGTTTCCAAGGCAGACTGACACATCTTTCTCCCTTGGAGCAGCTGGTGAGTATGAACCATTGACATTTTGGTTAACAGTCAAGCACTTAACTACTTGATCCACTAGTGCTCCTTCAATCCATAATGTTAAGTTCTGTCAAGTCAGTTATGACTCATAGCAACCCCGTATAGGGTTTCTGAGGATCAGCTGGTGAGTTTGAACCATCAACTTTGTGATTAGCAGTCCAGTGCATATCCTACAGCACCACATCAGGACTCCTCAATCCATAATTGTTGTTATTGTTAAGTGTCATCGAGTAGATGTCTACCCATAGCTACCCTGTATAGGGTTCCTAGGAGCAGCTGGTGAACTTGAACCGCCAACCTTGCAGTTCAAAGCAACTTTGCAGTCCAGCGCAATAGATGATGAAGAACTTGGAAACGAATATTGGTGACAGCTACACATGGTGAATGTGATCAACACCACCGAAATGCACATGTAAACATAGTTGGAATGGCAAATATTTTGCTGTATTTCAGTACAAAAAATAAACAAAAAGAGAGGCAGACTTAGCAGTCAATGAAGGAACAATGGGAAGCACATGGAGCAAGCACATGCATCAAGCATCTGTCTGAAATGGGCTAAGAGTTCAGACAGAGTCTTTACAATCAAGAGGCCACAATCATATTCCAAGGGATAGAGGTGATGCATGGGGGTGAGTCTGTGTGTGGCTCAGTGTTCCAGTGGAGACAATCACTGGGTTAGCTGAGAATTGGAGGTCATACAGTCTAACACATTGCTACAGACAGGCTCCAGAATGTCCTAACTTCCAGCTAGATGGGAATCCATTCGATTCTAACAATTCTACGAGACAGTTTTACATCTTTTCTATTAGCACTCCCTTAACCCCAATCAGGAAAGTATTATTTATCTAATGGAAATCAATTTTTGAAAGTCACTGAGGTTTTTTTTGTTTGTTTGTTTGTTTTTTAATCTATGAATGTTCTAGACTCTTTACAGCTACACAAACCTTTATAAGGGTTTTTCTAGCACTCTGGTGGTGCTGTAGCGTAGGATAAACTTTGGACTGCTAAACACAAGGTCACCAGCTGTTATGTGGGAGAAAGATGAGACTTCCTGCTCCCATAAAGATCTGCTGCCTTAGAAACCCTGTATAGTGTTGCTATGAGTTGGAATTGACTCGATGGCAGTACCACCTCAAGGGTACCAACAACAATTATGATTGCTGCCAACTTCTCATTTGTTAGAGCTCAGCTCTTCTGCGAAAAAATGAACATCCTGAATTTGGAATGGATTGCTCCCGAAGCTCCCATAATATTGAGTTAACAAATCTCTTAAAACATTTATCACGTTTTGTGTTTATTGCATTGTGCGTGCATGCATGCATGCGCATCATCTGTCTGCGAGATCAAGAGACTGCTTTAGCTATAACAGAGAAGTTAGAGCAGATAGGCTGAGAGGTTCATCCTGGCTTGGGGTTATTTGCAAACTGTTTTCAAGCAATGTAACAGGAGGATCCATGTCTTACTCATCAATGTTCAATACCTTTGCTAAAACAGAAACTAAGAAATACAGGTGGAATGCAAATTAACCTTCTTTGCACAAAGAAGTAGATGATCAGATTATTCATTATGGGTTTATTGGCTGTTGCAAAAGATTAAAAACATGTAAATATCCCTGTATAGGTACTGCCTGGATACATTTTGGAACATCCACCTAATAGAATGTGTCTGAGTGGTGCAAAGGTTAATATTTTCATCTGCTGATCAAAAGGCTAGAAGTTCAAGTCCACCAAGAAGTGACTCTAAAGAAAGGCCTGATGATCTACTTCTGCAACAGGAACCATTGAAAACCCTGTGGAGCACAGTTCTACTCTGACTTCCTTCCATACAGTCGCCATGAGTTGAAATCAACTTGATGGCATCTGGAACTTTTATTAGAATAGAAGGCTGTGAGTCTTTAGAAACGTTTAAGGCAGATTTACTGTGTAAATGCCGACCAATCTTCAAGATAAGGTATTTAACGAACAAAGTAAGACACAAAATGACATGCATGGTATCCTACTATGTATTTAAAAAGGGATGTGTGTTGAGCAGGCATATAAGCTCACTGGCAACCGCATTGGTCTACATGTGAGTGGAAGACAGGGAAAGGCAGTAATGAAGATATGGGCTGACCTTGACCACACTTCATAGACTCCTATCAACTTTGAGATGAGAGAAGAGGAAGGGCTGGTTGGTCTGAAATTTGGGGAGACTTAGGATCTCCTGAGAACACAGGTATTGACCTAGCCATGGAGGGCTAGAGCTGAGAGTGAAGCATCCAACTGATATGAAGTGAGGAGAAACACACAGGAATGCCCAAACTTGCAGATAGTACACATTTGACCTAGCTTTGATGGCTTGATGATCAGAATATGACTAGAGGAAGATAAATTTGATAAAGGAGCAAGTGTAAATTGCTACAATCTGATGAACTTGACCTATACTTATGGACGTAGTAGCTCAAAATACTAACCAAGAGGGAAGGAGTCTTACACCAAGGGTCAAGCCTATTCCATCAGTACACAGGGTTGATAGGGACGGGCAACTTAGACATAGGCTACATAAAATGGAGAGGAAGGGGGTAGTTATAAGGGCATGCATGAAGTGGCTGGCTTAAATGTTTTCAAAAGGGAGTTTAGTTTCAGAGTGTGCAGGGAAAGGTAGAATCCCCATTGAATAGTTTTCATCTTGTCTAGATAGGTCTGGTGAAAGGAGATGGGGATAAGATTCTTATGATTCAATAGTGAATAATTATCATGACTAATTGTGACTGTCACAACTGTAAAGGTAGAAGCTGTGTAACAAAAAGGGGGAGTAGCTAATCTTATATTCTAGGAACAGAGGACCCTAGGACCATCAAAAGAGAAGAGCATGAGTGGAACATGGGATCCTAACCACAGAAGCAGTGACACCAGAGATGGAGACAGAGGTGATGGCATGGAGAGATAGAGTAGCTGAGGAAAGAGAAAGACTGTGTGCTGGCGGCCAGGAGACTGGCTTGCAGAATGTGCCCTTTGGTTGTTTAAACAATTACATATTCCTGTGTGTTTTTGTGTACATCAAAAAGCAAAACAAAACAAAACAGAGGGAAAAGAAGCAAATACTGTTAACTGATGAGCATGGAGAGGATTAAAAAAAAAAGTGTGTGTGTGTACATGATTTGTCAGTGGTAGAATACATAAACAATTGGTAACTATAGTTTGCTAGACAGGAGGAGAACTGGAGGACTGGCAAAGAGGCAATGGTGGGACGATAAACCAGCTCTCTGGGAGAAAAAAAGGGCTGAATTGTAGCGTCTGAACATTGCTGTGGTGTCAATACCCAACCAGGGCTAATGAATGAATTAATAAGTTATAGTACACTCTTATTAACCCTTCGAAAGGAAATAGCTACAGGTACCCAAAATATTGCAACATTTTATTTAGAGAGATCTCCAGCATTATTTTATCTTCATTTTCCACTAAGGCAGTAGTGGAAGCAGATGGGGAAGAATCATCGGAAACTACGTGAACTTCAGTCAAAGCCAAAGGCAAACATGTTGCATTCAGATGCAGGAGAAGTACGGGTCATGGACCAAGATAAGCCACACGTTGACCTCGGGAGTCCACTGCCAAGGAACAGACTCAGGAAAATGGCTAAAATGGTTCCATTCCAGTCCAACCCTACAGAAGACTCCTCACTGACGAGCCCCTTCACCACAAGAGCGGTAGGTAACCTGGTGTTGGTTCACCAAGCTGTGCTGCTGCTTTGCTTTCACTCCGTTGGAAGAAAATAATTAAATCTACTGGTGGTGGTTATGTGCCATGGAGTCAGTTCCGACTCATAGCGACCCTGTACAGGGTTTCCGAGGCTGTAAATCTTTACAGGAGCAGAAAGCCTCATCTTTTTCCTGCGGAACAGCTGGTAGTTTTGAACTGCTGACCTTGCGGTTTGCAGCCTGATTCGTAACCACTATGCTACGAGAGCTCCTTAATAAATCTACTAGGTTTACTAAATTTACATTGTTTTAGTTGTATCGTGGAATCATTTCTAAATGTTCAATAAAAAAGCTTTTTGTAAGGCAATTCAGTCAGATATCATCCAGCTTGTGTTCATTCTATCCTTGAGTGGCTAGATGTGTGTCCATTGGCACAAGGAGTCCCCTAGGCTAAGGGGTAGCAAAAAAATCTACCAAACAAGTAAACACCAACAACTATGGCCTGGCAGTAATCAGACACTCTAAGATTGGTGAGAAAACAAAAGCAGAGCAGGGTTTCTTCCAAATGTTGCCAGGCATTTATTTAGACATCCCACCAAAACTAGGCTAGTATGCAGAGTGAAATATAGGGAGAGGCAGCACCCTTAGGGAGAGCTCTTAGTGCTGCCCCCTAGTGGTTCTATGTTCCATTATATCTTTCTTGGATGAGTTGATTCTACCTGCCAGTACAGGTATGCAGGCGTTAGATTTGGTCTGACCCAAATCACACAGTTACAAAGAGCCTCTTCCTAGCTGGAAACACAAATTGGTGACATTTGAGACCCAGCTCTGGGGAATGTTCTGATGATGAGAGTTGTTTTTGTAGGTCTCCTGAATCTCTTGGGACCCAAACACTCTGACTAGCTTTTCAGATGCTCCAAAGGGTCCAAAGGCTAGGATGGTCAGCAGAGGTGGGCCATGAGGGGTGATGTTCTGGGAGGGTGGAGAGCAAGGTCACAGGGAAATAGGGTGGTGGAGTTGGGGAGAGGAGAGACTTGTAACAGATCCACGGGCTTCCTGAGGGTGTTCTGGGCCAAGCGGCCAGGTGGGGGGTGTTGGTCCCAACCCGCCCACTGGGCTTCACACCCTCTTCATTCCATTCCCCATGAGGCAAGCAAACACGGTCATGACCATTTTGGGATTCACTTCAACCAAGTCTTCTGGAAGGGCATAGACTCGGGCTCCAATTTTTCGGGCCATGGAGATGGCATATCTGAAAGAGGAAATGATGAGAAGAGTTGAAAAGCAAAGTAGGACGGTGACCCCTGGGCACATAGCTAGTGCTGGTGGAGTTTCAGAACGAACCCACTCCTGCATATGCGGTACAGACATTGGCTTCCTTCTCCCATTTGGGCACATCTTAGCTCAACAAAGTTTATGACTCCATCAAACTAGCTGTCTGGCCTCATGATCGTTACAAATTTATTATTTGTCCCTGAAGACTTCTCCTACCTGTACTCCCTTTTGATGCCTAAAACCATGAGTGTTCTCTTGTATTAACAAGCACACGGGGGCCCTGGTTGTACAGTGGTCAATGTGGATCAATGCTAACCAGAAGGCTGGAGGTGCACCCCGGAACACAGCACTGGTGATCTACTCTTGAAAACCCAGCCACTGAACCTCTATGCAGCACAGTTCTACTCTGACACACATCACGGAAACTGGTTTGGTTATACAGCATAATATCACAGAATAGAACAAGAATGATATTTTAACTACAGAAACATTCTTACAAGGAAGAAAAAAGGAAAAATGAATCTATAACGCCTTGAACTTGCATATCAATTCTTTTACTCCTGCTTCCATTCTAATCCTTGCTCACATATGAATGTATTTCTTTATGTTAATATGAGTCCTATCCATTCTCACATAAAATTACCATAGCAGCATCAGGACAGTTTTGACACTGGTAGTGAACCTTAAGGCCAGAAGTTTGAAACTACCAGCCACTCCGCGGGAGAAAGATGAGGTGTTCTGCTCCCGTAAAGATTTACAGCCTCAGAAACCCTGTACAAGGTTGCTATGGGTCAGAACCGACTCGAAGGCACTTAACAACAACAACATAGTTATACAAAGATAACTTTTACTATTGTTGTTGTTGTTGCATCAGTTCCTACTCATAACAACCCAGTATAGGGTTTCTGAGGTTTTAAATCTTCTGAGGAAGTGTAAAACCTCATCTTTTTCCTGCAGAGCAGCTGGTGGACTTGAATGAGAACGTGTGGTTTGCACTCGAGTGCTTATTGTATGGGACCACCACACTGCCCTAATGTATATTGTCATTGTTGTTGTTATTGTTAAGTACCGTTGAGTCGGTTCCAACCCATAGCGACTCTGTATAAGGTTTCCAAGGAGAAATGGGTGACTTTGCAGTCCAGATTGACTTTGCAGTCCAGAGCATTAACCCACAGTGCCACACCAGGACATATATTACGTATAATTTATTTGTGAATGAAGCCACCCTTCTCTTTTATTCACCTCATTTATTACCTGGTAGTGTTACACAATAGCTACCACATTCTCTCTACTATTCTTTCTCCTGCTCTCCTGCATAACTTTAACTCTTACTTTATTGATCAAATTAAATTAAGAGGATCAGGCAGGAGTAGATCCATGTTTTTTCCTCTATCTTAATTATTAATAGTCTTACTTGGACAAATGGCTAAGAACTTAGCTGTTAACGGAATGGTTGGCTATGCAACCCCACCCAGTGACTTCGCAGGAGAAAGACTTAGCAATCAGCTCCTAGAAAGATTTCAGCTAAGAAAACTCTGTGGGGAAGTTCTACTCCATCACATGGGGTCGCTATGAGTCCAAATCAACTTCACAGCACACAACAATACCTTAATTATTCAGTATTTTAAAGTAACATTTCAATTGTAACATCTAAAGAAAAAAATGCTTCAAAGTTAGAAAAGAGAGCTTTTTAAAAATGTATGCATAACCTTATTACCATGGCATGACTTTTTATCATTTTATGTAGTTCCTATATACGTTTTTCAAAGTAATTTCATATCTCACGGGAGAGTGCTTAGGAATATGAAGTCAAACTTCTTTTTTTTTGTTGTTTAAATTATAAACATATTGTAACATTTCTCATTGAAAAGAAACATACTTTTTATGAGCTTTTCAAAAAGATTATTGATAATCTGTTTTTACTACTGCACAAACAGTAATTTTAACACATTCAGTTTGTTTTAAGGGAATTGCAGAGAAAATATGGAGCATGGCAGTCCTCTTGGACACTGTTTCTGTTATATCCTGAGAGGAGCTGCCTTAGTCCTTGGGTGTTTAGGCATGCATGTTGTTGTTATGTGCCCTTGAGTTACTTCCAACTCATAGTGATCTCATACAGGGTTTCTGAGGAGCTGCTGGTGGGTTTGAAGCATCGACCTTGCGGTTCAAACCGACCTTGAGATCCAGTGCTTATCCTACAGTGCCACCCCAGGGCTCCTTAGCATGCATATAATCATGTAATGAATGTTTACAAATCCACTCTCGTGCTAGTCATCATGAAAACATTTCTTCGCAAAGATAGTAATTGAAAATAGACATGATTCTAACAGTATTCCTGAGGTATTTATATCTTGTTTGATGAGAATATACAACTCTGTAAACACTTTTAGATACAAGTAATGGTTGATGTGGCTTCCTTTTTTGTGAAAGTCGGACTTTGAATCTTAGCTTAATAATTACACTTAATAATTACATGACTTGGAGCAAGTTTCTGAAATCTAATTCAAAACTCCTTGAGCATCTGGACCCAGAGCTTCATTTAAAAAATTAACCTCCATGTTCAGTCCCCTTCTTGTGCTCTCTGAATTACACTGTCCAGCCCACTCTGGAGCACCCATTACACCCCACTGTAACTGTTTAATTATTTCCCTTCTCTCCATTGTTGTTGTTGTTGTTAAGTGCCATTGAGTTGGTTTCTGAGGCTGTAAATCTTTACGAGAGTAGACAGCCTCATCTTTCTCCTGTGGAGCAGCAGGTAGTTTCTCTCCATTAGACTACACTAACTACAAGCCCACCTGGAAGCCAGGCCCCTACTTGCCCCAACTAGGGGCAGAGGGAAAGGCACTGGTGTAAAGCAGTACAAGTCACTATAAACTTCATCACTGCTTTGAGAAAGGTGCCTTCTCTCTAAAGCAGGGGTCAACAAGCACTTCCTGCAATGACCAGATAGCAAATATTTTAAACTTTGTAGGCTTTGTTGCAAAGTCTCAGCTCTGCCTTATAGTAGGGAAGCAGTCCTAGGAAGCAAATGAACAGGCATAGCCATGTTCCAATAAAACTTTATCTACATCATAATCATGCAATGAAACAAAATACGATAGGATGAGTGCAAGACCGATCTTCTCCCATGTAAAATATCACTCAATTCAAAAGAAAACTTTTTAAAAAAGTAACTACAGAGTCGGTTCTTTCTCATAGCGACCCTGTTAGGGTTTCTGAGAATTGATTAGAAGGTTAGTACTAGCAGCCATTCAGTTAGCAGTCCAGTGCTTATCCTTCAGTGCCAAACCAGGGATAGAGATAGTTAAGAAAGGTGGTCACAGCCCAATAATTGTTTGTTCTTAATGAAATAAAAAAGTATAAAATATGCTTTACATATCTATCTATATATAGATAGATATGTAAAGCATATTTTGTATGTTTAAAGTATTATTTATACATATACAGAGGGAATAGAAGCAAATACTGTTGAATGATGATGCACAGAGGAGACTGTAATCATTGCAATGAAATGATGACTGTAAAACCGATGTTCTCCCACAGAAAAACTTTAAAAAACATATATGCTTTCTAAAAAAACAAATCTGTCAACAGAGAGATAATTTAGAAATAGTTTGTGCAAAAATAGTTTGAACTTCACATGAAGTTACTGCAAACAGATCTACATCACAGAGGATTCGCCCAAAAGAAAACCCATCCAAAAAAAAAAATTCTTTTTAGAAAAGCTCATAAAAAAAAGTAAGTTTATTTTTTATGAGAAATTTTATTAAAAATATGTTTATAACGTTAAAAAAAAAAAAAAGTCTGACTTCACACTCCTAGGTACTCTCCCATGTGATACAAAATTACTTTTAGGTAATTAATGCTTCATCAAAGCTGAAGGACACTGAATAATAACTCTGAAGTGTTTGAACCCATGGTGAATAAAGATCAATGAGAAACAAAGCCAATTTTCTTGGAAAATGTGGTTGCAGTCAGTGTAAAAATATGATACAGTACTTTTTAAAAACCTAGTTTATGGCCTTTCAAGGAGAAACTATTAAATAAAATGAATTGGGAACTTAAAAAACAAAAAACACTTGATCTACAAAAACAGATAGTAGACTGATCACCAACACTGGGCTGGTGATCATTCGGCAGGTTGTCTGATTGTAAAGCAAACAGCTGCTTTCTACTTGGTAAAGACCACTGCTCATTACCAGTTTGAACCTTCCCTCCCAGACCTCTGGTTCATTTACATACTTCGCATTGTTGAGCTTCTCCTCATCATCCAAGTTTTCAGTCTTCAGAAGGTCATAGTTAATGGAACCGGGCTGAATGGCATCAATGAGATCTAGAACGGGCAGGCTTGTACTAATTTTCGGGTCCTGCAGAGAGAGAGAGAAAGAGAGAGAGTGTTTCCAAAGTTACATCCATTTGGCTCAAGGGAATTGGATGACTCTTTTCTCTTCAGTATAAAATTTAAAAGTCTGGTGTGAGAAAAAAGAGCATTGGCAGCACAGTGGTTAAAGCGCTCAGCTGCTAACCAAAAGGTCAGTAGTTTGAACCCACCAGCCAGCCATCCCATGGGAGAACGATGTGATGGTCTGCTTCCATAAAACATTAATAGTCTTGAAAGTCCTCTGGGGGCAGTTCTACTCTGTTAGGTTGTTGTTGTTAAGTGCTACTGGGTCTGTTCCGACTCATAGTGACCCTTTAAAGGGGTTCCAAGGCTGTAAATATTTACAGAAGCAGAAAGCCTCATCTTTCTTTCATGGAGTGGCTGGTGGGCTCAAACCACTGACCTTGTGATTCACAATCCGGGACTTATCATACAGAGCCATTGAGTTCCCCCTACTCTGTCAGACAGGGTTGCTATGACTTGGAATTGACTCTGCAGCAAGGGGTTTGGTTTGGGTTGGCTTGGTATGAAAAATGTCACAGTATTTTACATAATGTTTCAAATTAATTGCTGTTTTCTGTAGGAGAGTCAGTAAGTTCCTGGTGGTCTACCAAGCAGAGAAAACCCATTATCTGCCAACCAAAAGCCAGTGTGATCAAATCGATTCCAATCCATGGCCACTGCCTGTGTTGCAGAGTGTAACTATACTCTGATGACTTTTGGGAGCAGATTGCCAGGTCTTTATTTCGCGGTGACTCTGGATGGATTTGAATCTCCAACCGTTCAGTTAGCAGCTGAGTGCATTAATGGTTTATACCACCCAGGGCTCCTGTCTGCCAACAGGTATGCAATTCATTTCCAATAGTGAAGGGAAGGGTATCAGTACGTCTACAGAAAAGTATTTGCTGTTGTCAAGTGTCACGGGTTCTGACTCAGAGTGATCCCACATAGCAGAGGAGAGCGGCCCCGTAGGACTTCCCGGGGTGTTAATTGTTATGGAAGCATCTTACTAGGTGTTTTCTCTCCCAGAACTGCTGGTGTGTTTGAACCACTTACCCTCTATGCCACCTGTGCTCCTCAGAGAAGCACAGAGGTTGAAATAAAATGTGTCTAATTTAACTATGAGCAATGTAGTGACAGAACAGGAGATGGAATGACTTGAAAAAGGAGCTGTGAGAAAGCAGAAATGACCAGCATCTGAAGAAACCCTGGGACGGCATTCCAGAGGTGACTAGCAGGGACTGTGATGAGGGTGATGAGGGTGCAGATGCACAGAAGCCTCAGAGAATTCTTGCTTGCAGACCTCAGGAAAAGAGAGCAGTCTGAGACCAATAGCGTAGTGATTACAAGTCGGGCTGTGAACCCCAAGGTTAGCAGTTTGAAACTACCAGCGGTTCCTTGGGAGAAAGATGAGGGTTTCTGCTCCTGTAAAGATTTACAGCCTTGGAAACCCTAAACAGGGTTGCTACGGATCAGAACTGACTTGCCGGCACTTAACAACAACAACTGGGTCCAATGGAAACAGGACAACTTTGTGATGAACTGTAATGACCAGTCCCGGTGCCGCCAAGTCAGTTCTAACTCATAGGGACCCATACGACAGACTACAACTGTCCCACAGGGTTTCCAAGACTGTTGATCTATACAGAAGCAGATTACATCCTTCTTCATGGAGTGACAGATGGTTTCGAACCATTGACCTTTGGTTAACAGCCAAATACTTTTGGCATTGTGCTACCAGGGTGCCCCCTTGGCCCAGCACTTTCTCATAGGTTACTTCACACCTGACTGTCACAAACCCTAGGTGGAGGCACTTACTCTTCATTTACAGAGGAGTAAAGGAAGTTTCTGATGGCAAGTGATGTGCCATTAAGTGGTAAAGCTGGGATTTGAACCCAGGTATTTTGGTGTGGCGCTCTGGGATGAAGCACCTGTATAGATTTAAATTCTCAGCAACCCTATCTCGGGTCACAGTGGGTTGGAATTATTGGTGGCAGTGGGTGAGGTTTAGGAATAATGTCTTCTCAACGAGTTAAATGCTGCTTGCGGAGCACTGAAGGTGATTGTGGCAAAGAATCTGTTGTGAGAATGGATTGGTTTAATTGTTTTGAAATGATGGCAAGTTTATATTACATTAAAGGCAGGTACAAGTTGTCTGAATTGCTTTCTAAGTCAGACATCCATGACCTAGGAGGCTGCCTAAATTATTTAATATGTTGTTGTTGTTGTTAAGTGCTGTTGAGTCGATTCCCACCCATAGCGACCCTGTATAGGGTTTCCAAGGAGTAGCTGGTGAGCTTGAATCATTGACCTTGCAGTTCAAATGACTTTGCAGTCTGATGCATTAGCCCACAGTGCCACACCAGGACTGCTTATTTAGTACAATGGGTCTGTTTTTAATGTGTCCCTAGTTCTGAGTCATAGTGACACTGTATAGGATTTCCAGAGTTGCTGGTGAGTTTGAAGCGCTGACTTTGTGGTTCAAACCAACCTTGTAGTCCATTGCTCATCCTACAGCGCCACACCAGGACTCCAAAATAGATACTATAACAAAACTAAGCTCAGTAATCATAATCTAAATGTTCACCAATAGCTTTAACTACTTGTTAAGTGCCATGGAGTCGGTTCTGACCCATAGAGACTTTAATAGGAGTGGCTGGCGAGCTTGAAACACAGATCTTGCAGTTCAAACTGACTGTGCGGTTCAGCGCATTAACCAGGACTCCAGATACTATGCTCACAGAAGTATTTGGTGCCGAAGTACAAAGGAAGCAAAAATGGAAAGATTTGCATTTCATCTTCGTTCTCACTTTCTATCACCTGTCTTGTGAAGGTGTTAACAGGCAGAGATGGTGGCAGTAGATGAGGGGATGGACATCAGGGTTACTTCCCACAATGGTTAATCACGAGCGGGCTGTGATTCATTTTCCTCAGGGTTCTGCGCACTCAGAAATGACATGTTTTCCTTTGGTGCACAGTGTGGCTTGTTTCATTGATATAATTCTGGAATGACTTAGTGGAAAGACAGAGGAAAATTCTGCTAGAGTCGCACAAGCAAGTGTGAGCAGCAGCCTAGCTTGCTAAACCTCATCCCCAGAACATCCTGGGAGCCCCAGGGTGATGCAGTGGGCTAGAGCAGCAGTTAAACCACAAAAGCAGCACTCGGTGATTAACTCGTCACTTTGTGATGCTGGTGTTGTCATTGAGTGGGCCCCTATGGTGGGGAAAGAGTCTACTTTTCTCAGGATTCTCAGGGTATTATAACATCAAAGACTGAATCATCGACCACGTTAATAAATCTCTGAAGGTATCTCCCCCTCCCCTGAATCCCCACCTTTAAGTTAGAAAAGTCTAGTTAAGGCTGCACAGGAGCCCTGGTGTGGTGCTGTAGGATAAATCTGTGGACCACTAGGTCAGCGGTTCAAACTCACAGGCTGCTCCTCGGAAATCTTATACAAGGTCACTATGAGTCGGAATTGACTTGACAGCATTTAACAGCAACAACAACAACAAGGCAGCACGTGCATTATAATATTAGTCACGTGTGTGGATTGCTTGAGGAAGAATCTAGAAGTGATGTATGAATCCCAACTTAAGAAACTGAATAAAAGATAATGTAATGAATAAAAATGGGTGTTGTCAGTGGCATCCCTCAAGAGGTACAGTGGGAGGAACACACCAGTGACACTGTTAGAAGGATAACGTCAAAATGACTGTCCATAAAAATTGTTTGCACTGATTCAGCAGAAACTCTTTTTTTAAATAAAAATATCCCAGTAGTTATAACAACAAACATCATTTTCCTAAGGCCAGCTTCCATGAATCAGTAAGGCTGTAACTCTGTATGCTAATTAATTTTTTGAAACTTCTAACGTGCTCTGGTCAGAGCGGGCATAGTCCCTAATTATAATGACTCTTTGAATTTTGTCATCTGTGCGCATGCGTTCCAAGTTTGTACTATAAGCATGCGCTGTTGTTTTTGCAGTAGCTATTTCATCATGTGGGTTAGTATGCTGGACTGCAAAATCAGTTTGAAATGCAAGATTGGTGGTTCAAGTGGCTCTTCAGAAACCCTATACAGGGTCACTGTGGGTCGGAACCAACTAGATGGCATTTAAAAACAACAAGAAGTGTTCTTATAGTCACTGATTTTGTCAAAATCTCTAGCATTTTAGCTACAATAGTGTAGTAATTAGTATTTCCGAGCCTTTATCGATAACTTTCTTTAGAATAACATAGTTATTAAAGGAAAACAAAGAGAAAAAGAAAAAGGGTTTTTGCTTACTCACTCATAATGTAATTTAATGTAGAAAAATCTTATAAAAATTTTTGTAGTTAGTAGTCACATAATCTAAGAAATATTACATTAAGCAATATAATCTAAGAAATATTACATTAAGCAGCTTACAACTATGTTGTTAAGTGCTGTAGTTTAGATTTCAATCCATAGTCACTCTGTATAGCTTTTCCAAGGAGTGACTAGTGAACTTGAACTGCCAACACTGTGGTTCAGATCAAGTTTTCAGTCCAGCACATTAACCCCCAGCGTTACCCCAGGACTCCTATGATTAAAATTGACACTAAGCATTGCTAAGTGTTCTGCAGGGTCTGGGATAGGAAGAGGCCCATGGCTTGGAGGTCTAGATACAAAGTCTAGTGAAGGCCCCTGGATGCAGTTACACAATTACTTTTTTTCTTAAATTTAAAAACAAAACCAAAAACACACAGCAGGAGAGAGCATGAAACGTCTCACCATGAAAAGCCCGAATCATGGAACTGTGCACACCTTAAAAAGACTATCATAATTTATGTCACTCTGAGAGAACACTGCCTAAAATGATGCATAAAAAATGATGGCTGTATTATTAATTATTATGGCAGAAAGTGAAATACAAGAAATTTGTCAATGAAATGGCCTAGGAACATCGAAACAATAATGGGTCCTTCAAGGAAAGTAATAATGGGAGGGGGAGCTTCAAGTACCCAACATTAAAGGCCACTTTAAAACACAGTGCACACACTAAAAACAAGCAAAGCAGACCTTTCATAGTTGACTAGAGATTTTACCTTGAAACTGGAGATGGACGAGCTTTTCCCTGATGCCCTCAATGTTTCATTCACCCAGTTGACAATAATGTCATCATTGACCTTCTGTCCACCGCCAATTTCTTCGAGGATATTCAGTGTGTACCTGAATAAAACCAAAAATAATTTCTGGAACAAAGTTGCTAAAGGATTCAATGTGGCCAAAATTCACAAGAGTCTCTTCTTTCAAGGTGTACCACAGAAGATAGTGTAGACACCATTATATTTGAGGAAAAACAGAATATATAATAGCATTAGTTTCAAAATAAAAACTTTAAAGGTAACCTTATGGTTGTTACAATGGAACATAAAACAAATACCTCCTTCTGAGTTTCATCTTCTCTGTGCCAGGTGAGAGAACAGAAGAGAAGAAAAGGAAATAAAAAAGAAGCAAAGAATTCGAACCAGTGACTTTTTTTTTTTCTTAAAAGAATCACAAAAATCCAAGAACAACTCAATGGTAGGAACTGCAAGTAGCCAAAAGTATCAAAATTTATTTTTAATATTAATTATATGCAGAAATATTAGTAAATAACTGATAAAAAAAAAAAGTAATCTCTGGTCTACATCAGATACACAGTGTGGTGAACTTTGGTGGTGAGGAAATACTTATTAAGAATATATGCTTTGATATCCTAAAAGTCCATGGATCAAAAAAGAATCAACTCAAGTCAGTTCTGACTCATAGTGACCCTGTATAGGGTTTCCAAGGAGTGGCTGCTGGGTTTGAACTGCTGACCTTGAGGTAAGCAGTATAGAGCTTATCTTATAGCAACACACTTCGCTGATGGGTTTGCTTTGTGCTGCGGAGTCGGTTCTGACTCATAGCGACCCTGTATGGGATTTCCAAGGCTGTACATCTTTACCGGAGCAGAAAGCTTCATCTTTCTCTTGAGGAGCAGCTGGATGAGTCGAATTGCTGACCTTGTGGTTAGCAGCCCAACTCATAACCCACTCAATCTGAGAAAGGGAAATAAGAGTATAAGCAAGCCAAAGCAGCTGTTCAGGGTTCAGTTTGCCAGAGGTGTTAAATTACACAAGCAAGACTTGGATTGCAGTGTGAGTTTTTAAAACTGAATGTCAAGTATCCTGTGATTAAATTTCTCCTGGAAGGGCCCACCTAAATGAGGTTATTCTCCACTTGGATGCCCAACGATTCTGCTTACGTAATAATCCCTTGGGTATCTGATTCCAGTTACTGCTTCTATGGAAGCACAACGCTCCCACGATTTCCCTCACTGTTGCCATGTCTAATCCTTGAAATAAGAGCAATGCTTAACTTCCTCTAGGTCACAGCACGTTCCCATCGTGACAGACCAGCAGGAAAAAGGCATCTGCAACTTTTCTTTGTCAAAAACAAATTTTGTCTACTAGAACTGGCAGTAAAATCCTCACAATGATACCTTCCCAAATCCCTCAGATGAACTGGCTCCTCTTCATTCTATGAATTTCCCTCACAGTATCTCCAGAACTACCTTTATATAGTTTTGTTCATGTCATTCAAAGTGACTGACTCTCCACAGCTCAGTTCATGGAATCAAGCTTCTTAGCATGGTGTACCAAAACAAATCAGCTGACATCAGTTCAATTCCAACTCATGGCAACACCACGTGTGTTAGAGTAGAACTGTGTTCCACAGGACTTGCAATAGCTGGTTTCCTGGAAGCCAATCACCAGATCTTTCTTCCAAGGCACGTCTGGGTGAACTTTCTAAACTGGAAGTGAGCAACTGAGTGAGTTAACCGTTAGTACCACCCCTGGTTTACAAAAGGCCCTTCACAAGCTGCCTTGAGTGTCCCTTCTCAGCACATCTCCAGTTTCCCTCCAGCCTTCATCTGTGCCACCCCCGTAGTTGCCCCCTCAAAGACACACTTGCGTTTCAAACACACAGAACAGTACTCGATTCCTCCATTACACCATGAAGGCTGCATCCATGATTCAGCTGTGCTCTCTGCCTGGGATGTCCTTTGTCATTGTTGCTGTTGTTAGGTGCCATTGAGTTGGTTTGGACTCATAACAGAATGAAACACTGTCTGGTCCTGTGCCATCCTCACAATCATTGTTATGCTTGTGCCTACGGCTGCTGACACTGTGCACTATCTCGTTGGTGGGTGGGGACCTGTTCTTCCTTTTTTTATGGACCTCCACTTTACTAAGCATGATGTCTTTTTCCAGGGACTGGACCTACCTGATAATATATCCGAAGTATGAGAGATGAGATCTGGCCATCCTGGGACATTTGGCTGTACTTTCTCCAACACAGATTGGTTTGTTCTCTGACAGTCCATGGTAATTTTAATACTCTTCTCCAACACCATAACTCAAATATATCCATTTTTCTTCAGTCTGCCTTATTGATTTTCCAACTTTCACATGCATATGTTGTAATGTGCCGTGGAGTCGGTTCCGACTCACAGCTACCCTGTACAGGGTTTCTGAGGCTGTAAATCTTTACAGGAGCAGAATGCCTCATCTTTCTCCTGCGAAACAGCTGGTAGTTTCAAACTGCTGACCCTGAGGTTCGCAGCCCAATTCATAACCACTACGCTACCAGAGCTCCTTACATGCATATGAGGGTACTGAAAATACCATGGCTTGAGTCAGCCACACCTTAGCCCTCAAAATGCCTTTATCTCCAGTAAATTTCTAATCTTGCAACACTTTTCCAAGTGGCCTGTGTAGTTTATTTATTGCTACATTTGATTCAAACCGGTTTCCCAAAACTCTAGATAAAGCTGATGCCCAGCAGACCCCCTCTAACAGCATCCACACTCCGTCATCACTGCGTTTCCAGAGGTCAGCAGAGTGCCAACAACATGATATCCAATTGCTGACAATTTGATTCGGAGTCATGACAGCCTATGTGTTTCTGAGTAGAACTGTACTCCACAGGGCTTTCAATGGGTGAATCTTCAGACATATATCACCAAGCCTTTCTTCTAAGGGACCTCTGAATGGACTCAAACCTCCACCTTTACTACGAATGGCCAAGCACACTGCCCAAGGACACCATTCAGCACATGAAAGAGCAAAGAGGTGAGGAAAATAAGTAAAAAGAGTTGTTTTTTCCCCAGAGAAAGCAAGGAATGAAATAATCTAGAGATAGTACAGATGAGAAGTACTTACTCTGGATCCAGAGATGGGACCAAAATGCCAGGGGATAAAGATTACAAATGGGAGAAGTGCCTGGTTGATTTTCAAAATCTTCTTACTAGGAAAAGGTCCTAGTTCTGATCTGTTCATAAAGGTTATGTTTTATGGCACCCCCCCACCCCACCCCGGCCCTTGTTTCCTGGTAGCCTGTGTATGGCATTATTAACATTTGCTGAGGCTTTCTGCTCCTGTAAAGATTTATAGCCTTGGAAACCCTGTTCAGGGTCACTATGGGTCAAAACAGACTCAATGGCACTTAACAACAACAACAACATAACACTTAAGAGTTTCTGCCTAACAGCCTTCTCATTAAGAAATGGATTCATGCTTGTTTTATCAGAGGAAAAACCCATTGCCACTAAGTCAGTTCCAACACCTAGCAACCCCATAGGATGGAGCAGAATTGTGCCACTGGGATTTCCAAGGCTGTAATTCTTAGGGAGTCCTGGTGTGGCACTGTGGGTTAATGAGTCAGACTGCAAAGCTGTTTGAACTGCAAGGTTGGCGGTTCAAGCTCACCAGCTGCTCCTGAGAAACCCTACACAGGGTCGCTATGGGTTGGAACCAACTTAACAGCACATGACAACAAATCCTTACAGAGAAGTCCTGGTGTGACGCTGTGGGTTAATGTGCCAGACTGCAAAGCCATTTGAACTGCAAGGTTGGCGGTTCAAGCTCACCAGCTGCTCCTCGGAAACCTATACAGGGTCATTATGGGTCGGAGTTGGCTCGACAGCACTTAATAACAACAACAATAATCCTTACAGAAGCAGCCTGCTGCAGGTTTCTCCCACAGAGCAGTAGATGGGTGCCAACCGCCAACCTACTGATTAGCAGCTGAACGCTTAACCACTGCACACCTGAAGAAGCAAATAAATGCCTTTTTTGAATCTTCTAGTAGCTCCACTCTTGTTAAGAATGGATTCCTTTTGTCAGGAATTAGAGACCAGCATTATTGAGAGACTCAAAGGACTAGAAGCAGTACTTTTGGCCCACTTCTTATGCTAGGAAGGCTTACTTTTATTTAAAAAAAAAAAAAACAGCACTGGAAAATTTACAAAAAGCCACTATGGAACAGGAGTCCTTACAGAGATGCAGAAAGTTGTGGGGAAGGCTTACTGCATTCTAGGGTTTAAGAGTCACCCTTCTCAGTGGAACATAGAGCTTTGGTGAATAAAATGTTGGATCACAGGCTTACTTGTGCTTACTTAAGACTCTGTAGGGAACAGTTTGTTGTGTTGTTGTTGTTGTTGTCAAGTGCCTTGGAGTCGGTTCCAACTCATAGCGACCTTGTATAGGGTTTCTGAGGCTTTAAATCTTTGCAGGAGCAGAGAGCCTCATGTTTCTCCTTCGCTGTGGCTGGTGGACTCAATCCAACCTTGTGGTTTTCTGTTCAGTACTTATCATACAGAGCCACTGAATTCTCAAGATAATAGTTTATTCACTACAAATTAGTCAGTAAACACACATAAGCCCGTGGCTTACCTTCCTTATTGAGCACTCCGCCCCTAGGTAGTAGTGTTTCTGGCAACTCAAGTGAGATGCAGAGGTTTAAAATGCATCAGATGCAGGAACAGAGACTCAGGCTGAACGGATAAGGGAGGAAAAGTGGGATGTATATGCCCTTATATATCCCACAAATAAACAGGAGTTTGAAAAAGGATATTTGGACATGGGTAACCACAGGGAGGAAACAGGACAACTCTTATTGCATGGAGGGAATTGTAATTATTGAGATCAAACAGTGTAGGATTTGTTAAATGTAAAACCTATGATCTTGTCTGTAAACTTTCACTCAATTCACAATAAAAAGTTTTTTTAAAAAAATGCATGACAGAC